CAGCCACGGGCGGGTGCCCCCTCCCCCTGCCGCCGAGCAACGTCCTGCTGAGCGCGGAGAATGAGCAGGAGAGAGAAGAAAGACCCCCGAGGGCGGCCAAAGCACAAACCAAACACAATCCCAACGGCTCGTGTTTTAGTGGTTGACTTTAATTCTGCACTGCACTTTTACTACAAGGATATAAAGAATAAATAGCCGATACTCTTCATTTACATAGGATTAAGTCATTCAAACTGTTCTCTCTATTTACAATAACATTGTGCTCTAGGCTTTTTTTTTCTTTTCTTTTTTAATCTAAAGTCCATAAGGAAAAAGAAAAAAAACTCACACACACGCTTTCCGAAGAATGGAAAATAGCTTTAAAACGTTTTCTTATCAAAAAGTTTGGTTTTTATTTTTTAATCCTTTTATTAAAAAACAACAACAACAACAACAATAACAACAACAAAAACAACTTCGCCAAAGCAAAGCAACTTCTCTCTGGAATATAAATACCAAAAAAAAAAAAAGATACATTAGCAACGATCAGGGTAATAGTCTTAAAAATACAGTAGACACTGATTATTTCACGTATAATACTGACCTTTTAATAGTATATTAAAACGGTGCCATATATACACACAATATACATTCTCCTACACGTTACAGTGCATTACAACGTTAACCGGAAAGCAAATGTCTTTTATTTTTGTTGCAGCAAAGGTCCACGTGAGTCCGCTAGAGAAGGGGCAGGCGGGGAGGTGCAAGCCCTAGCAGGAGCACTTGCACTCCGAGATGATGGGGTACTGGATGGGTATCCACGTGCAGCGCTGCCCTCCCCGGCGCTGGCACCTCCACCTCAGGATCGTTAAATGCACGGACTTGGCAGGCTTGCAAACCATGCCTTCTGGGACTGAACAAGACCTTTTACTGTAGCAGCTGCCCACTTTGACATACCGGGGCCAAAAGCGGCTGCCGAGATCGTTCCACGTGTATAGGACCGGGCAGAAGGTCTGGGACCAGAGCCACATCTGCAGCTTCCTGCGCAGCTTCTTGCTCAGCCTGTGCTTCTTGCCCGGCTGCAGCCCGTCGTAAAACTCCAGCCCTTTGATTTCGCTGGGCATCGCTCCCGAGGGTCTCTGCCTGAGCAGCAAGTCCAGCTCAGCCAGGTCGTCTACTCCCAGCCGGTCCTCGGGCAAGGAAATAGCCATGAAGTTAGGGTCGAAGTGTCCGCCCATGAGGCTCCTGAGCAAGGTCTCGTTAAGATCCTTCTCCTTGGGGTCAAAGATAGGGTCCGGGTGCTCGATTAGATCCACCAAGGGCAAGTTGTCGCTGGGAGCCGGGCGGATGTGCAGATAGTGCTGGCAGGCGCCTTGCTCCAACCGGAGACCCAGCAGAACCACTACGGCGTATATAGTCACAAGGCACTGGGAATGATCCATCCTCGGGAGATCGGTGGGGGGGGGGAGGGGGGCTGGGTTCACCAAACAGCAGGGGAAGAAGGTGCAAGCAAATACATCAGAAAACTTGTACGGGGATATCCAAAATAGCTTGTCTTTAACGGGGATCACCTCCACTCCCCGCACCACCAGCAAAGGCAGCCCTCTAACAAGCCAGGAGAACAAGCCCCCTGCAAATTCTCTCTCTTGCAAGCTTCTCTATAAAATTTCTCCCAGTGGAGCCGCTCCAAATTTCTGCCGCTGCCGCTTCTTTTCACCTTCCCCGGGAAAGGGAGATGCCTCTTTTTGTTGCAAACTCTGTTTGCTGCTTCTGCTCCTCGTTGTCTGCCCGTCCGTAGGGAAGAAGTTGCTGCCGATTCCTCTTCTCCGCTCCTCTCCACCGTTTGCAAAGCAGCCTCCTCAGCAGCAACAGCAGCCACGCACGTTGGCACCAGTTTGTCTGCTTTGCAAGGACCCAAAGCCTTTAAATTTCCTGCACTTTCAGCTTCATCTCCATGGAAACCACAGACTCTCTTCTAGCCCACCCCCCCCCCCTTAAAAAAAACACACCCGCACACACTCCCACCGCAACCCCCACTCC